TGTTTTTTTGTTTATTTTTAACTGTTTATATGTTTTAGTATCAAATCAGCGCACTGACTGGCGTATTATACCAGATGATGCCTCTTGGACAGAGTTGGTGATATTTCTGATTCTGATATTGGAAAAGAAACAGCTTTAATAGTATTGTCAATAGCTTGTTAGCATTTAAAATGGTAGCCAGACATACTTAGACTTGTTTATAGTCATTGTGTTCTGTCATACATTATTCCTAGAACACAGAGTGATGGCAGGCATTACCCTACATAATGTGTGAGTGTGTCTGTGTCAATGTAAATTGGATAAGCTGATAAAAAGATCAGTGTATAATTTATGATGATGAACTCATTCTCTCTCGTCCGTCTATCACCACCCCGGCTGGATTGTTTCATTTCTTTCATATCACTCCAGTGATGTAGGGCTGTCAGTGGCCCGAGGTAAAGAGGTACATTTAACTGGCCTGAGTTTCACAGAGACCATTTGTGGACTTCCACAAGGACGAGGAAATTATGGACGTGCCCTTAATTATTAAACAAGTGTGTCAGCAGCCCAGCCTGATGGAGGTAATGCAAAGAGGAAGTGGGCCAGAGAGAGGGCCTAGGGGATCGGGGGGGATAAGAGAGGCTGGTGGGCTTGGACCTGGGGGTGGGGTGGTGTTAGGCCCAAGGGCTTTGGTTCAAGCAAAGGAGATCCAATAATGCTGTCCAAGCTATTTTGCACATTGTTAAGGTTGAGGACCTACTGCAGAGGAGGCTGTTAGGGAATGAGTTCTGCAGGCAGGCAGGCTTCTAGATCTGGTTTTACACTGAGATAAACCCAACACCAGAGGACACTTGAGATTTGATATAGAGCCATCATGTGATACCGTGCATGCACAGCTGAGTGGGCCACGATGAAAAGGCCCTTGAGAAAGTTTTTTGGATGTCGTCAACAGGAATGGCATGGCATTTTTCTACTGGGGGTATGGGATGAGTGTCTGTCTTTAAAGAAATCGATTGGGGTATATCAAGTGAGCCAAAGACCTGACTCAGGCAAATCCACTATCCTTTGTGTGTGAGTGTGTGTGTGTGTGTGAGGCTCAGAATGAAAGATAGCGGTATCGAGGGGTTGAACCCTCACAGCCATGTTACATTTATATGCAGACAGACATTCAGCTCTTGTTTCCTGATATAAACAGATATTCCAACAGCTAGTGAACAACTCCTCATTCACGGGGGCGTGTGCAGGCATTTGTAGGATTATTGAGGGGAGAAGTGGGTGGGGGGGACTTAAAACCTGATGGAGGCCTATGGCATCATTGACCGACAGCACCTCAATTAGTCCAACATGCTGATCAGGGATTAGCAGGACAGCGGCTTACACTACAGTTTCAATTACATGCTCCTTATTTGCATGTGGATGCTGACACCTGGGTGGATGTGAGGACCTGAAACCTCCAATCAAACCATGAAGAGATTCTTTAAACCATTTCAATCAACCATAATCAACTAAATAAATATAATAATTTCAATACTTTTTCAATCAATCAATCAGTCTTTATTTATAGAGCACTTTTCATACACAACAGAAAAAGGAATAAAAGACACGAATGATACACAAATCTACCCCAGCCCAACCCCTCATTCCCACCCCACGATCTAAATGCAACAGAAACAGGATTTAAATGCATAAACTTAAAAGAGCTTGATTTTGTGGAAAGAGGAATGTGCGCACCGAGGATACGTCATTTTAAAACTCAAGATAAGGAAACACTGGAGGTTTAGGTTAAAATCTAAAAACAAAGTAACATAGAATGAAATTTAAGAAATAATTAATAAAATGAAATAAAAACAGTAAAAGATACTAAAATAAGAGCACCAAAATAGCCCAATAAAAGACGATCCTGTCATTATCAATCAATAAATCAAACTTTATTTTTAAAGCACTTTTCATACATGCAGTGTAGCACAAAGTGACATCCATTCACGCAGGATATAAAAAAAAATCAATGAAATAAAATAAATAAAAATACAGATACCAAACCCCACCCACCCTCCCAACCTCCATTCAACACATACAGCACTCACACACACGGACACACATGGACACACAAAAGACCAGGATTCTTCAGCTTGTCACAGATGACTGAGGAAACGCTATTTTGTGTTAAAAAAAAAGAGGAAAAAAAGAGGAAACACTGGATCCAGGACTAATACAATAAAACCATGATAAAATATAATAAAGTTGATAAAGCGTTAAAAGTTAATTAAATAAAAGTCTTAAAATTAAACAATAAAAGAAAGTAAATTAAATAAAAAGCGGTAAGAAAACACAAAATATATTACTCTAGGACTAAAATAGGGTAAAATCTCAGATTAAAAGATTAAAACAAAATTTAACTAAAAGCCAGACTAAAAAGGTCGGTCTTTGGTTTACTTTAAAAAATATGAACAGTAGGTGTCGCTCTCAGGTCTGCAGGTAGACTGTTCCACATATTGGAATTAAAACTAGAAAGGGATACATGCTAAAACACTTAAACTAAATAAAAGATATAAAAATTTAGTTAAAATCAAGACTAAAAAAGATACGTTTTGAGTTTGTTTTTTTTTGTTTTTTTAAATAGATAGACGTGTTCATCCAGATGATGACTCCTCCTCAGAAAATTGGAATTACCTGGTGTCCTGACCCCACTGGTCAGCTGCAGCAGTCAACAAAATTAACCTTATCTGTTGAAAAGAAAATATCACACACTCTCATGGAGGGTCTAAAACGTTCAGATACCAGTGATAATGTTTAGCATCCATGAACAAAAACCAATTCACAGCTTTCTGTAATTCATTTGCATTTTTTAAATGTTATTCAAGTGGGTTTTATGTAAGGCTGTTTTTGGCTTCAGTTTATTTTTCATTTCTATTTTTGGTCTCCACTAAATAATTTAACATGCATACAGAATCTGTACACCAGTGACACGGTTTACAGGAAAGGTTTCTGGGATGTGTTTGAAGTCTGAGTCTTCAGCGTGCTTTAGCCGAATGCAGGAAAATAATCCATGTATGTAGAGAGTACAAAAGGCAGAAGGCAATCTGTTTTAAGGTGTTTCAGCGTTGGTCATCTGACAATGCTCTAGCTTTAATTACTGTCTTTTTACACTGATATCTGCACGCAAAAGCGACTCACAATCTGCTCCTGATGTCTCTTAATCCAGCTCCATCCTCGCTTCTTAAAATGCTATTCGGACAGGAAGCAAAAACAATACATAAGGAAGAAGGTCTTTGCTTCATTGTTTTAATTTGACAGCTGTGAGGGTTCAAAACCAGGTTTCCACTAAATTTAGGAATAAAAAACTGACCATTCAGGAGCAGCAAGCACCAATAGGTCACTTACTTTTACTGTCTGTTGTTCAGTGCAAACATATGCAGCTACTGGGCTTTTGACCAACGACAGCGCTATCAGTGAAAAAAAAAGAAAGTTAGGATGAGTATACTGAAAGAAAGCTAAAATGTTATGCACGGTTTTAGTACATTATTCACATTACACACAGAAAAAAGTGCAGCTTTAAAAAGAACATGCTGACTTCAAATGGTTATTATGGAAAAAGTTATTAAAAGATAAAAAGAGAGAGAGAGAGAGAGAGACACGTCTATTAAAAGCAGGTGTGATGTCTTGTTCTATGGCTGTACTCCTCTTCTACTCGATGCTCTGTGCTAATACAGTCCAGTGGAGCTTTAGAGCACTCAAGAGAGAGAGAGAGAGAGAGAGAGAGAGAGAAAGACAGAGAGAGAGAGAGAGAGTATGTGTGAGCAAGAAGAGTGGGACCGGCGCCAGCTCACCCCACCCTTACTGCTGCCTGCCTGCAGAGTGAGGAGTGCTGCATTTCCTGAGGGCGATGCAGAGGACAAGGAAGAGGAGGCTCACTTCTGTTAAGGTCACCATACAGCAAACACGGAGCGGGTCTGCAGACACTGAGAGCCTGCGGCGGACATCGAAACTGAGAGGGACAGTGACACTGAAAGAGAGAGAGAGAGAGAGAGACATACAGATGGACAGAGAGAGACAGAAGAGCTGCAGCATTCAGAGGGAGGCCTCTGCTGTTCAATGATCAAATGTTCAGCTTTTCTCACCCAGAAGAAAAAAAAAACAAAAGCATTTTTCCATCCCTTTATCATTTGCTCAAACCTTTGTCTTAAAATATAATCAGTTTGTAATATAATCTGTTTGCTTATCATTTTGGACTTATGATTGCATTTTATATGACGACCACTTTATTATGAGGTTGTCTGTAATCACACTGTGCAAACAAAGGTGGTTTTAGTGTACGCTGATTAATGGAAGGCAGAAGCTTATCTCAACTCAGTAACCTAAACCAGAACTTCCTGTGGGTTTTTGTAGACAGCGTACCACGTCTAGTAAGTTTTTCCTTGTTGCAGTTTAACTGAAGGTTGATCAATGTTGATTAGACAGTTACATTTGCGTCTCGTTGGTGCAAAACAATCTATAAAAGTGTTTGAGTTGAAAACCATCATGTCCATTTCTTGCTATTTTCTGACATTTACTCAGTTACTAAAAATACTCCTTATTAACAACTTCATAATTCCTCACTCAACAAATGCTTTTAAGTGTTTGAAGCCCGTGCCTGCGTGAACACAGGAAGAAGAGAGAGTGAGGAGGAAGAAAGAGGAGGGCTCTTCAAGCCCCTGAGGTGTGTAAGGACGTGCTGAGAATGACAGAGGTAAGTGGGGCTCTCCTGGGACAAGAGGATTAGTGTGGAACCATTACCTTAGCCCTGTGAATCACTGCTAATGGCCTCAGTGAGAGGGTGCTGTAGTACAGACGTTGGACACATTTAGATTGAGACCCCAGCTTCTGTAAGGACACATACTGCAGCAGAATTTTTTTTTCCTCTCCTGTTAGCGCAGTGCAGAAAAAAACTGTGACAACTTAAAAGTACAAGCTGATTCTATGTGTGTGACTTTTTGTGCAGATATATACACCCACATCCCGAGGCAAAATGAGCAAACACCAACAGATCCTTAAAAATTTATTGAAGTTAATGTAAGGTGAAATTATAAGTGATATAAGAAAAATAAATAACCCTTGCATAGATCACAGACCATGCCTTTGTCATCCTCTGACAAACTGAACACATTGGAGCATAATCCTTGGTGAACACAACATGACAATGATGGCTGAATTAGGTAACACAATCAGAGTTTGGTTTTGCTTGTGAATGAAAAAACAGAGCAGAAGAGTTCGACAGTCCTTTTGCACTTCGCTCCAAGATTCTCCGTACTAGCAGTTAAACGTGCATTCTCGACAGAAAAGACAAACTTGTAGACATCTCAATCCTTACACAAACAAGATTTTCTCATCTTTGGCGAGGAAGTACACAACTTCCCTACCTTTATTCCTGTTTGGTGCCTCCTCAGCAGGCAGAAAAGCAGTCCAACCTCAAGACTTCTAGCAGACAAGAATGCCTTGAGACCAATGTGTTACAGAGGAGGGTGTGCGGCGTAGGCCCTGCTTGGACATGATTGGCATGTTTCCCACACCACAGTATCACTACAGTCTAGACTGAGATTAGAACAGACAAAACGTCACTCGAGAGAGCGTTTCAGTCAGAGAATAGAGATAAAGTTTGAGAAACTAGCCCTTAATGTCCTCGCTCACACACACACAGAGATTAACAAGTACAACCTCGATCCCCAAACGCCGTCTTGGTGAGGAGGTCAGTGCTAAGGTGCTTTTTAAGAAATCCAGCAGAGGACATGTTTCACGACTATTTCTGAACGGGGCCGTACAGGAAGCCTTGGTGCAGATGAAAGCAAGGGTTTCTTTTTTTAAAATGATGCAACTGTATAATAGTTGATCCACAGTTTGAAAGGCAAAACTCATGCAGTCGTCCGTCGACCATGCAGTTTTTTGCGATTAGTAGGTTTTTGTAGAGATACATTATAGCAGTAAGGTTCAGCAGTGGTGAAAATGTGAACATGGTGATTGAATGAATCTTTTTTATTTTGTTTCTCGAAACCAAAGAGACAAACAATATGTTTGTTTTTTAAAGAGTACACTTCTTGTTCATATCATTTAGTGTATAGCAATTGATCATAATACAGTAGTTTTTATTATCATGGCTTGCCAGAGGAATATATTGTCTTTGACATTCCAGTATATGGCATGTTCTTCCTAAATGTGCCACCAAGAAATTAAAATAAAGTAAAGACACACATTAAAGTACTTTTTCATAAGTAATTGCAGTATATAGTGGTTACTTTCTCTATCTTATTGTAGCAAAAATTGCATTTTGTTCTCTTATGGTTTTTTGTTTTTTCATATGTTTAATTCGATTAATATTATGATTCTTGAGATCTTCTCGCTTGTATTTGTTTGCAGAAGCCTAACACCTAACAGTAAGCTAAACAAATGAATATGTAAAACTTTTTAGGCACCTTCTCTGACTTGCTTTCACACAGCTGATCAGTCCAGTGAACTGAAGATAGATCCTCTCTAAGTGCATTATGGGCTGGTCCTATGGGACTGCCTCACAGGTTTGACTGAACCCTTTGCAGCCTTTGTTCCTGACTGCAAAAACAACTTCAGTCTAACCTGCGTATTAAATGGGGACTGACGCTGTTACAAAGGCTATATTTGGATTTTTCTCTGGTCTCTCTCTGAACAATGTCAGCCTCTACAACTGAGCATACAAAATTTCAGCACAGAGGAACATGAACAGCCCTGTTGTGAGTTGACCGTGGTTTCTCTGACATTCAAAATAGATTTGTTTTCCTATTTTATTAGTTATTTTTTATTACAAAAAAGCATCTAAGAAACAGGTTATCTGTTATTCTATTGCTGTTAAGAATGCATGTCTTTTTGGGGTAATTGAATGCATAGCACCATCCATACATGCCCCCACAACAAGACTAGCAACAGTCCTGCTAGTGTGAGGATTATCATTTCTATTTTCTTTGCCTCACTCTCGGCTGCTTCCTGCAGGATGTTGCACGCATCTACTTTCAAGCATCAGTTGTATGAGAAACTTGTGACAAAAGCTAACTTTTCCAGATAGCTGCAGAGACTATAAATTACTTGTTTCATCCTATATGTAGTAATATACTGTATGGTATTGGTGTCCCTCTGTATGACAAACCTTGTACAAATTGAAAATCCCTGACACGTACATATATGCATCTTTTTTTTGCACCCTCAATAAGTTACTGATATCAAGCAGGGCTCTTAAATGTTCACCTCGCCTGAGCCAGACACTCTTCAGCAGTACAGTACAAAGATCAAATAAAAACAGAGGCCTAAACTAACCAACCAACCATCGATAACAAAACGAAGGATGAAAAGACCTGCTTATAACAATTCAAGAAGACTGAGCTGACGCCTTACATAATGTGCAACTGTAACATAACAGTAGTGGTTGGGTGCTAGCACCACAAAAAAGCCATTGCACCAAAAGAAAAAACGATGACATTCAAGTAGCACTGCAGTGAAGCTTTTTTTTCTTTTTCTTTTTTAAATAAGATCATGTCAGGCGTGCGCCAAATCAAAATGAAAGTACAGAAGAGTACAGTCTTACTATCGATGTGTTGTGTGGATGGATGTATAGCAGCTTGAGATTTTCAAGTAGCCGTTCCAGTCTGTGAAAAACCTATCTGCAGTAAGCTTCTCCACCTATGCTGAGAACAATGCACATTGTGAAAAAATAAAAAAAAACTCACAAGCAAGAAAAAAAAAAAAGGTTCAAGGAACAGAAGAAAATGATTGTGCAAAAATTCAGGCAACACTTAGCTGTGCATCTTAATGCCCACGAATTACAGGATGACATAACTAACATCTGTTCTGTTTTTTACACATATATGAGTGTGTGTTGGTGAGTTGAGACACATTCAAATGTGTTTCTGTGACACAACAGTAACGTAGTTTCGTTTCAAAGGATCTCATCCTGTAAGGAGAGTTAAACAATCTCTAAAAATGAATGCTCTGATTGTGCGTAGCTATAAGTGAAAAAAAGGAGTGGGATTGTGGTACACTATATGCCCTAAGTGCTTGTGTAAAGGCTATGCTTTGGGACTCTCACATTCAATGTTGCATGACTGCAGTTTACACTTAAGGTTCCATTTTGCATTATGGTAAAGGAAGCCCTGCATTGAAGCTTGCAGCTCTGCAGCAAGTTTGCAATGACCTTACTGAGGTAGAGACCCTGAAAGGATGCGTGGTGCACAAACAAAAAATAGTCATCAATAAATTAGATCTAATACCTACAGAAATTCCCTTTTGAATTGGATTGGTAAACATGCAGATACAATACATTGCTGCTTAAGGGCATACTTAAGTGCGTGATGGCATGGAAACTGGGTTGTGCATAACAGCCATGAATCTTTTTTTTATCTTTTTGACCACAATCACCTGCTGTTTCAACCTTGCTCAATGGCGTCATTAACATCGTCACCTGCAGTGTATCAACACAAGAACAGAGGGCAAACCGGCTCTTCGCAACCTGACCAATCCCATTGTACACAGAGGCACTTTCACTGGTCCTGTTGGTGAAAGGGATAAAGGCACTATCAACTAATGATAGGAGAATTCTCCAAAGAGAAATTTTGGATTGATCCCTTGTTTCGTGGATCCTAAACCAATACATTCTAATTTTGTTGTGGAAATGGAAGCATGACTAATGACGTGTTGACTTCTTCTCCTTTTCAGTGAAGGTCCATGCACTGCTCCTATTGACTTAGTACTGTAATTGGTGCTTATTATGATTATATGCGTTTTTGATAATATTTATTTGGTTTCTTCAACTACTTTTAAATTAGAAACTCTGCATCCTTAAGTTGGGTTTGGATATATTTCATCGCAATTCAGAGACATCCAGAATTGAATTTCCTCAGTTTCCCTGATGTTAGGGCGCTGCATAGTGTCTGAATTGCAACAAGCTGTATACTCATGTCATGCATTAAATATACCAGAATACAAAAGTACCTTAGTCAATAGACCATAATGCAGGTTACTTTTTCATGCTATGATCTCATTAATGTACTGTTCCCTTAAGATTTAACATTCAATTTCTATACTTCTAAATGGTTAGCATTTCAAAGTAAAAACTCATCCAGTGCACTCAGAATGAAAATTGATGAGAAAAGGGGGATGGAGGCAGGTACTCTAAAAGAACATCCTTTCCATTGTGTGGGATATGTCTCATGCATGCCGATATCAAAATGGAAAGTCTCTAATCATGCTCGTGTGAAGCTCACTTTATCATTGTGCTGTGTTGCGTCTAAAGGGCATGGCGTTGAATCACTTGGTGATATCACAATTATAGCATCTGCCGGAAAACAGCAGCATTGCGGATGTCTGTGAAGCGTGTAGATCACCATCTGTTTAAATCCAAACAAGATAGATCAGTCTTCCTCCTATAAGGTGCTTTGCTGAACAGTAGATCCTTCGTTTCGTGGGGAGCCGGGAGAGAGGATGGGGGAGGGGGAGCAGGGGTCACCTAACTTCTTGGCGCTTACCACTTGGCTGCAGATGCTTGCATGTCTCTGCAGACTGTTCTGGTGCATTGTGCAACTTGCTGAAATGTTATCTGTACTCCATGCATAAGATTTTAATTATCACACTGTCCTCTGATAAGACAGCGTGTACTCTGCGTCCACCAGAGAGACGTGTATGTGCGTAATAATTAAAGTTCTCTTTTTAACTATATATTTGTAGGATCAGAAAAATTAATTATTCTATCTACCTGTCATATACTCTAAGATCTTATTTTTTTTCTGTTTCCTTCCTATATAGCTGAGCAGAGTTATAGGCCTAATGCCTTAGAGTGCTTTGGAGAGGTAAATGAAGCATTCCTAAATGATGGTCTACTCCACATATGACAGTCCCAATGAGATCCCAAAGTTCCTAGCTAGTGTCTACACATCTGTTAGCAGCTTGCTTTTATTTACACAGTTCTGGTTGGCTATAGTGCAATTTCCAGTTCTGAGGTTTGCCTCCCTAAAGTTGTCAATGCTATTGTTTATATCTCCATCAATCTCCATGTACTCGGACTTGCTGACGACGGATGAACTACGGCGGCTGGAGTTGGTTTCAGACGGTATGTTGGGATTGCTGACGTTGAGCAGCTGGGCCTGCTCTTCTCCCTCTGTCTCCCTGTGGTAGAAGTAGTTGAAGTTGGACACAATGACAGGGACTGGTAGTGCAATTGTCAACACTCCAGCGATGGCGCACAAAGACCCCACAATCTTGCCTCCAATAGTGACTGGTACCATGTCCCCATAGCCCACAGTTGTCATAGACACCACAGCCCACCAAAACGCATCTGGGATGCTGCCAAAGTAGGACTCTTGCTCCTCTGCCTCGGCAAAGTAGACAGCACTAGAGAACAAGATGACTCCAATGAACAGAAAGAAGATCAGCAGTCCAAGCTCTCGCATACTGGCCTTGAGGGTCTGCCCCAGGATCTGCAGTCCTTTGGAGTGTCGTGACAGCTTGAAGATCCTGAACACCCTGACCAGACGGATCACCCTGAGAATGGCCAGAGATGTTGCCTGCTCCCCCACCCCGTCGTGTTCTGGGTCTTCAGCCAGCTCAGTGCCGAGTGTGATGAAGTACGGGATGATAGCCACGATGTCAATCATGTTCATCATGTTCTTGAAGAAGGCTGGTTTGCTTGGGCACGCGAGAAAGCGAACTATCAACTCAAAGGAGAACCAGATTATACAGAGTGTCTCAATGACGAAGAAGGGGTCAGTGAGAATATTTGGCTTGTAATAAATAGTAGTGTTCCCAACTGTCACCATGCGACCCATTGGGTCCTCTTTGAGTTGTGGTAAAGTCTCTAAACAAAATATGACAATTGAAATCAGGATCACCATCACAGACACTATGGCGATCCCTCGAGCAGTGCCTGAGCTCTCAGGATGCTCAAAGAGTAGCCATATCTGTCGCTGGAACTCCTTCTCAGGTAGAGGACGCTCTTCCTCCCTGATGAAACCCTCATCCTCACGAAACTTCTCCATGGCCTCCACTCCCAGCTCATAAAACTTGATTTCTTCTGAGAACATATCCAAAGGTACATTCACGGGTCTCCTCAGCCGGCCTCCAGACTGATAGTAGTAAAGGATGGCATCAAAACTGGGACGGTTTCTGTCGAAGAAGTACTCATTTCTGAGAGGGTCAAAGTACCGCATCCGTTTTTTTGGGTTGCCCAGCAGTGTTTCTGGAAACTGGGAGAGAGTTTTCAACTGTGTCTCAAACCGGAGACCGGCTATATTGATGACCACCCTTTCGCAGCACTCATGGTCATTATGGTCGGGTGGATAAGTGTCCTGAGGGTGTCCAGGAACAGCTGAGGTCTCGTCCATGTTATCTCCCGCTACCACGGTCATTTTTGGAGGAGGAGTGGAGGAAGAGGAAGGGGAGCTTTGTTGGGATATTTGTTAATCTGACTGATTAGGCATTCAGGTTGAGGGAAAATTTCCTCTCCTCAGCTTCCCACACCCCTTGAATAGTTGGAGACGTCCCCAGATTGAAGGGGGGCTGGCTGGCTGCTTTGCCTCAGTGCGGCTCCACTGCGGTTCTCGCTGACTTGACCATTGCTACTCCCCGATGCATCTGCTGCTGTTGTTACTGCTGCCTCTGTCACCCAGAGAGGGAGAGGTAGAGAGAAATAGAGATAGAGAGGAGGAAATAATGGGATCAAACGGCCAAGAAATCTGATGGCTCAGCATTTTCTGCGGCTTATTTATTTATTTGCTTCCCTCAGCCTGCAATTAGTGCAGTTATCCAGTGGTTAGGGTAAAAACAAACACCCTAGGAAGAATTTCCACAACATCTCTTCAGTATAGGCATTACTGACAATCATTTTGCAGTGATCTACAGCGAGTTCATGATGATCTTCTTGTACTTCTTGAGATCTGCTACACGCTACATCTGATTCCTAATGTTTTCATGGATCTTCACAACATCCATGGCATTTCTGTGCAGATGTTTACCTCAGTTTAGCACAGAAATGCGTAATGCGTGGTTTAATGTCTTAAACATGCATTGCAATGATCCATCCTACGACACACTAACCAGCCTGAGTTGTGATGTGACGCATAGCATCTGAAACTGATATCAAATCATGTTTCTACATGTAGAAGATGTAAAAGATGCTCAAGTCATCTGCTAAATAAAAAAGTAATGCGGTAATCGTCTTGAGCCGTTCAAAGAGAGAACAATGATATCGATAGGTATTGCATAAGTCAGCATTTTTGCGGCTTACCGTGAGTTGTTCTTGTAGGTCTTGAATGCGTCTTATCCTCGAGTAAAATCATCCAACGGCAGGGCACCAGTGGGTGTCATGTGGCAACTTTACACCGCACCTAGCAGAAAAAACATGCCTAGAGTCCGCCTGTGCTCAACGCCATCCTACAGCTGAGGCGTCCTTAGATAGATCTAAACATCTCCAGGTACGATGAGATAGAAGAGGGTGATGAAAATCATGGGAGTGTGATGAGGACAGCCTGAGATGGGAAGGCTTCAGCTCCGGGAGCTGCTCACGCCGCGGCACGGAGGTGTGAGCAGCTTACAGTACACTGCAGGAAAAAATCTTGCGCTGCAATTCAGGAGGGGGAGATACAGTAAGGGGCAATAAGCGAGCTCTTGGCATTTCCAGACATCACTGCATCAGCAGGAATCTACCGCTTTCTGCGAGTGGACAAGATTACGCGCAGAAATGTGGATCAAAGCAGCTCGAGAGAAAAAAAATACTTTAAAAAAATAGATAATTTAGAGACAATCAAATGCGGCAGCGAGGTCCATATGTTTCCCCTACAATGTCAGGCAAGTTTTTCTGTGTATTTTGCATGCAAGTGCAGGGATGGAAAGGAAAAAGAGGCGAGGGGAGGGGAGAGGAGAGCAGGAGGAGGTGGAGGAGGAGGAGGAGTTGGAGGGTTTCGACGCAATGCAGACCGGCTCTACTAAAGCACGCCGCCAGAAGTTCTCCATACACCACAAAAACAAGAGCGCTCGTGTGCCAGCACTGGCGCAATCACACTGCAAAGAAGGACAGAGAGTAACAAAACCTCTTGACTCACAACTCGTCAGATCATCGTCGTTTAAACAAAACAACCCCATTGTCAGTGCATGAAATAATATCACTGTTTCATTCTGTCACTCCTGGATTGAAGGATTTGACGGGCCTTATTTTCAAGTGTCAAGGACAGAGCCTTTACGTCGAAGCTTTGGTTAAACTAGATTTGATTTTCATTGTTTTAGATCATGTGCATTTTCAGAATTGAGAAATCGTCCTCAGCTTACATGCTGGATCTCCCCGTCTTACACCCAATATCTAATGCTTAATATATATTTTTTTTATTTCCATTCACTGCTTTATGACTTCCACAGCGAAGGAAACTTAAAGAGTAATGCAGAGAGTTTGGCACAAAACGTTCTGCAGAGGACGCAGGATCAGATTCAGCACCAAGGACAGCGTAGATGATTGATTCGCCCCAGAAAACTACAAAAACAATCAGCCCGTTGCAGCAAAGTAACAAAAGAGTTTGGCAAATACTGAGCAGTGTTTTTTTGTTTTTACATAGTTCTCACTCTCTGTACGGTGTGTAGGTGGTGTCTGTCTCAGGGCCCATAACATTGACACGGTCAATACATAACTGACTCAGAGCATCAGTCTTCTGTCTCTCTGAAAAGACTCATTCGACACATCTTCAGGTCAAAGCAGCTCTTATTTGTTTAAACGAACCTCCAGCCACACCACCCTCCTCCATTTATCACTATGACATTTGATTAAGTTAATTGGGTTTGTGGCAGGACAACCCAATATCTGCTTTTGCACCTCTTTTTTTCTCCATCGTTCAGCACCAAAAGTGATGCAGTGAATTGAAGTAATTAAAGGAGCATGGATTTTTACTTTTTTCTTTTTTTTTACACAAGTGGCTGCTTTCTGTGAGTCTGATCTGATTTAAGCGAGAGTGAAACCAGCGAGTGCTACATTTTCTGATTCATGATTTATTAATAAAAAAAGATTAAGTTAAGTTCACATACGCTACATGTTTAAATTATAAAAATAAATATTTTATTACAATTAAAATTCACCATGAATCCATGTCATGCAGACATTGCATCGTAATGTTCAGGGCTATCTTACAGTGTGGTGCAAGGAACCAGCACATGAAGTTGTCATTCCCACTTTGTATTAGAAGCTGCATAAGAAAAGAGATGAGTAAGAGTTACAATTACGCAGTATACACAAGGCTTATATACAGTGGAAGCGTGGTCATTTAAAAAGCCTGGATGTAAGAATGTTGTTTTTCTACTGATGCATACAATGTCCATTAAGGCAGGGTTCCCATCCTTCAGTCTCTGTTGGCTACAACCCTGGCAGTGCGCGAATATCCGTGAGAAAATTATCCAGTGTTTTGCAGAAGAAGAGAATCCCACTTGTGTTCCGTCGCTATTCTCACGGAGAAATAAGCGTCTCTTAATCGCCTGCCTCCTGCAAGTAAGCAGAAAACAAAACTCACTATGAGAACAGAGAAGGCAGCGATGTTTCTGCTGAGCTTTGAGTAAACAATCGTGACAAAGAGTGAATTAGAGAGCATGATCTTAGGGGCTTCTTCCAAAATCCGGCGTGACCAGCTGCAGCAGTGCCAAGATAACGAAGCCCAAGTATTAACACAGCACACGGTCAAGCCTTATCAGGAGTGTTGTTGTCTGCAGGGTCATTTATCATCCACAGAGTGGCGCACAGAGCCCATTTGTTCTGACTAATGTGATGAAAAGGCATAGCATCAAGAGAAAGTTAAGGCAGAGCTTCTTTCTCTCATCATTTGAAGAAATAATTATGACAATTTAAGAGATCTTACATTTGAGAAAAATTAGGTTTCCATACTCAAAATCCACCCAATGTTTTAAATCCTCGTTTTAACCAAACATTCCTGTTCTAGTTCTTCTGAAAAAAGAGAAACTCTTAAATCAAACAGGGAAAGTCTAATCACAGTAAATTAAGCCACTTTGAGATCATTGAACATAAAGGTAAAGATAGAGGTTACACACTGTTTGCAAAGCAGTCTAAACTAGTGCTTAAAGGTGCATCGTGCAAACCAAGCGTTGGGATACGAGGATGACAGCGACCAGCCTCCACTCTGCAGCAAGTGGGACGCCAACAGACACCCCGAGGACCTCTACAAGCCCTCAGCCTGGCAGGCTCTTGCATGTCAAAGAGATAAATGTCTGTCTCAGTGTCGGTCTTGGCCGGGCCTGTTGCGTCATGTGCGCAATGACGCACGGCTTTATTTCTCCTTGCTGGTTTTAAGTTTGATACTATAAAAAGAGGCTATACACACTGCATTTGCTCATGATTTTAAGGCTAGAATTGTGAATTGTGATTGTGAATATTTCTGTCTCATGGCTTGACAAACTTTCATTCGTTTTGCTGAGTGTTTATCCTAAGTCTTTCAAATGTGATGGCTCTTGCATTACGCTGCAAGGCCTTTAGTCCCCGTATGAAAAAGTAAGAGGTTGAAGCAATTACAGTGACGATTCCCTCAAAACAAAGCAAAGCAAAGCAACTGAAGCAAGTCTACAGCAGTGTTTTTTCAACTAGTGTGCCGTGACAGATAGTCAGGTGTACCCTGAGAAATTATCCAATTTCACTTTATTGGTCTTTTTTTATTATTATTACTTATTATATGCATATAATATGCACTTCTCAGGTGTCTGTGCTGTAATCTACAGCCCAAGGTTTCACACTGGGTGAGCATGAATAAATTGAGAGACTATATTGTCATTGTATAAACCTGTATCTGGGGCTACCAAGTGTCACTTAGTAACATTTTAGGTTGGTGGGGTGCCTCGTGTTTTTTTAATGAAAAAAATGTACCATGGTTCAAAAAAGGTTGAAAAACACTGGTCTACAGTTATCTTGACGTGTGTCGTAGCATGAATAACTGAGAAACCAGTGCGTAAAAAGACTATAGCACACAACCTGAGAGAGACAATCTCTCTGTACACAAGAATAAACTCACCATGAGTAAAACTTTCTCCAGGCAGCTGAGTTCAGACATCAGTCAGTTTCCCTGTGTACGTCTCCTGTGGGTTTATGTTTGTGTATGTCAACGTTTCCAAATCGTCGCTTCCCTGATAGGATTCAGTTTTGGAGAGCGACTGGCTACTTTTGGTTGAATCACTTTCCCCAAAGGTGAGCTGGAGTTGCTGCTGCACTTGCTCCTGTGGCTGCCCGCATGTCACGTGCACGTAATGGACATTTTCCTCCTCCTCGTTCTCTCTGTGGTAGAAATAGTTGAAATTGGATACAATAACAGGGACAGGTAGAGCTATGGTGAGCACTCCGGCGATGGCGCACAGAGATCCCACAAATTTGCCCCCTATGGTGGAGGGACACATGTCGCCATATCCAACAGTGGTCATTGTCACCACTGCCCACCAAAACGCACCAGGAATACTTGAAAATTCAGAATCAGGGTCTTCTGCTTCCGCGAAGTAAACAGAACTCGAGAATAAAACAACTCCAATAATCAGGAAGAATATGAGCAACCCCAGCTCCCGTAGGCTGGCGTGAAGAGTCTGGCCGAGAATCTGGAGACCCTTGGAGTGTCTGGAAAGTTTAAAAATCCTGAAAACTCGGACCAGACGGATGACCCTCAGGATGGCCAAAGACGCCGCCTGCTGACTGCTGCCTTGATGCTCTGCCAGATCAAGGCCCAGAGTGATAAAATATGGAGCTATAGCCACAACATCGATCAGATTCATGATGTTTTTAAAGAAAGCTGCTTTGCTGGGGCAGGAGAGAAACCTCATGGTAAATTCAAAGGAGAACCACACGATGCAAAGTGTCTCCACCACAAAAAACGGGTCAGTGAAAGGACTGGGCGCGTCACCGTTCGCGCTCCCATTGGCGGGAGTGTCCGGCTCTACTTGGACTTCTCGAAACTCAGGTAGAGTCTCCAAGCAGAATATAATAATGGAAATCAAAATAACCATAACTGACACAATGGCAATTATCCGTGCAGGTCCTGAACTCTCCGGATACTCGAACAGGAGCCAAAACTGGCGCTGAAACTCGTTATCGGGCAACGGCCGTTCCTCCTCCGTCGTAAGACCCTCATCCTCTCGGTAAATTTCTATGATCTCTTCGTCAAGTTCGTAAAACTTGATTTCCTCCAGGAAAATATCAACAGGGACACTCACAGGCCTCCGTAGCCGCCCCCCTGACTGGTAATAATAGAGGACGGCGTCAAAGCTCGGCCTGTTTCTGTCAAAGAAGTATTCATTTCTCAGCGGGTCAAAGAAACGAATCCTTTTACGCGGATCCCCCAAAAGAGTGGTCGGGAACCGGGCAAGGGTCTTTAACTGCGTCTCAAACCGCAGCCCTGAGATGTTGATGACCACCCGTTCGCTGCACTCCTGGTCCGCTGGCTCCAGGTCAGCAGCATCTTGCAACAAAGGAGTAACGACCACAGTCTCGTCGTGGTTCTCCTGGGACACCACTGTCATCTTTTTTACCCCTTCAAGGGTAAATCCGTCGCTCACCTCCTCGGTGCCTTCCTCTTGCCCTTTTGCCTGTGCGTCCTCCTCTCTCTCTCTTTCTCATGCAGCCGCCGGACACCTAGGGAAAAAAAGTCTTACTTTTAATAGATATCCAGAATCCGTGTCCTGTTGTTGATTCACACCACCCTTTTGTCAGATTAGAGCCTCTGAACTGTCAACTTTCAATGGTGCAGACGGATCTCCACTTGCATGAGCTATACCGATGGCAATGGCTATCATATTCACACCATTTTAAACTCCAAAGCCCTCCCCAAGTTGGAAGACCAGATGACACTTGCTGCTGCTGCTGCTGTCCCTCTTACACTCACTTCACTGCAGCAGAGCACTGATTTCAGGGTAAACATGCAGACTTCCAAACATAATCCTTGTTGATTTCAGTCCTACATCAGAGTACTCAGGCTTGTTTTGTCAAGAACATCGTCCACCAAGCTTTCCGGATCCAGAGTCAGCTCAGAAATGGAGTCTCTCAGCTTGCAGGTCCCTCATTCATGAAATCATGGGGCTATTCTTGTCACAAGGGGAACCTCCAGGACCCAGCTTCAGTCTACTTTGGGTCACAGCCCACAGCCTAAGAAACAAGGAGTATACTAACAAAGGTGGAAAATAGACCCTTGCTGCTGAGTTCTATTTTTTTGCTGCTATTAAATGTCTTGAAATAAATTAAATGAAATAGCCTGAATGCTTTGAAGCACAGAGCCTAGTATAACCAGGGGGCCAACCTGGACCCAGCCAGTGGAAACTGCTGGCTTGACTGACACTTGAGTAGCCAGAGTGTCTTCAGGGAGCAACAGCCAAAATAACATTCACCATTCAGAGCACTTAAAGGGCTCAATTGTACAAGTTGGAACACGGGGACCCCCTGAAGACAAGCGACCCAACCTTTGGGGTCAGAAAGATGTAAAAAAACCAGCTGCAATTATTTCAAAGTCTAATTAGTTAGACCTCAACAGATTGTTCAAGCACCCTATGGTCTGGATAGAGCAGGATTTTTTTTTTTTTTTCATCTACCGCTACTTCAAGGTCAACTTTACTTTTAGTAGTTAAAATTGTTATAGTGGTAGAAAAAATAAAAATTTTGGTCTGAGTTAGGTTTTATTTGTCCTGCAGCACTGTGATCTATTTATAGCTTAGTTTTTTCCACCTTTATTGCCTGCATAGAATTTAATGACTTATGTCAGTCACTACAGACACAGGACAACAACAATAATAGCACTAGGGTGCTAATCAGTGTTGCTAAAACCAACCTGGACGGACTGGATTATTACGTAGATGTGGTCAGGCTTTGGCAGGTGTAACACGCCACCCTTCACTTTTTATATCAGGGAGATGTAGTCAGGTTAACAAACAGGGGTTTCTAGAGGGGTGCCATTTTTTTTGCCTTTCCATTACTGGACAAAGGGTTGGATTTCAGAGTCAGATGTCAGTGTCAGGACACCATGCCGCCTGCTGCTAATGTGTTAGCATATAGCATTCACCAAATGACTGTCTGGGTCAAGCCAAGGTGTCAGGCCTTGACCATATCCAAGGCAACAAACAATAACAAACAAGCTGAGGAATGAGCACGTGACTCTTATTTATGGGTCAGGCAAAAAAATAGTTTCAAAATTCAAGGCTGAACTCGATCTGTTGACGTCTACAGAAACCTCTGTTACCATTATTCATAATAAATCAAAACCTATATTGATGGGTTAAAAGTTCGTATTTCAGCATATTTTTGTAAATCTCTTAATTATCCAACGATGTACTTTTACTTCAATTGTATTATCTACTTCCATACGTGTTTTGTACAGATAAACACATGCATGCATCCTTGACTCTGACTGCATGTAGTAAGATGTAGATGTAGCTACAAGCCATAAAACCTGCAGGGTGCATGAATGCTGACAGCAAGGAACCTCCCATTGTTATTAATGGCTCAGCCTATAAATGCAGGAGACCCCCATGGTAACATGATCCTGTAGAGTCACTCAAACTATGAAAATATCTTCTGTCTTATATCTAGATCCACGTCTGTACTTAAATTGTTAAGAAAATCAGGCTACTAACTGTGATTTTACAAAGGTAAAATAAATAAAATAATTTGATGATAAAATTAATATCTATTATGATGATTTAAAATTGATTAAAAATATTGGGTAAAGCTGCGTCAGGTTACCATGAACCCAAGTGTCTATATTTCTTAAGTAGCGTCATATGTTCATCAGTATTTTCATCACTTCCACTTTATCTCGTGCAGCTTGTCCTGGTCAAGTGCTGACAAAACGAGTTTCCTTTCTAACTCATAACAGACGTGAGGTAATCACAGTAGCGACTTGTGTCAGCGAGTCCCTTTGGCTTTCCTCCCTTCAGACCCCAGGCCAAGTATTTACAAAGTGTGTGCGTATGTGTGTAATCCACTAAGTGTGTATCTGACGCTGCTATTAGTAAGATTGGTGAATGAACGCATGTGCGTATCATGTTTGTGTGTGAGAGAGTGTTATAAATTGAAAGAGGAGTTTTTAGAAGGTCAGCCATGCTAGTCAACAGCTCCTTTGGATCACATCGTTCTAGTTCCAACTACTCTGCTGGAAATGAAATAGGAGTACATTTGACCCAGCGTGACGTATGCTCTGTAAGGATGGCGTTGACAGCGTCTCAGACACTGGAATGAGTCTATAAAGGTAGAGCTAAATCTGGGGAAGCCTCTGTTTTGTGCTGCTTTACTCACAAACCTCCAGGCTGTGTCTTTGAAAGGATCCTTTCAATTAACATGTTGTGAAAAGTAAAACCTGGAACTGAGATGGGGAAAATATTCAAGAGAGTTTTATTATTTTTAGCTTGTCAAATACAACGATGGGGTCGCAAAATGTCTGATTGTGAGCTAAAAATAAAAACTTCATCTGCACTTTAATGTGATAGCACATTGAAATTTGTCAAAATGAACTAGAAAAGATGCATTTTAGACAGAGGCTTAAATGAGGGTTATCAAAAACACCAATCTGAGATAAGTAGTGATTTATTTTCTTGGCTCTAATCACAGACAGCTATCAAATGAACATATAATGCACGAAAAATGAGCAATACAGGCCCTCTATTAGGCCAGAAATATGAGGAAATACTGCTTTCTCATTTCAGTCTGTATTCTGAAAAGACAATCAGAATTTTGGGACTGTATGGATGGTTCAGTTTTTCCTCAGAGGGGTTACATGAGTTTGCTTAGTCACTAAAGCTGGGTTACAAATTGCTGCGGACAAGGTCAGCTCCTCCATGTTATTCAGCTAATGCCCTTTTAAACCCTTTAAAAAAATCAGAGGTCCTTATCCTCTTCCCAAATTCAGCATTTTTGCCTAAATATTAATTTGAAGTTGTTTCTAACAGATAAATGGCAATGAAACTCGTGCCAAAACACATTTTTAAAAGCTGTGTTAAACAAATTTTCAAAATAGTGTCATGTTTCCATCAAAGTTTTAACCATGCTCAGGTTGATATCATATTTACAAACTAATTACAGTTGCCTAATACATTCAAATGCATTTATTGGTTTAAAATTATTGCAGTTTGCTAACTTTCTTTTCTAACTTTCTGTGCTGCAGTTACTTGTTACCTCTGATCCGATATAGCCACTGCTTCATCTGCCATTATTATGTAAGTAGTTAGGTATGGTATTACCTGGCACCTATATATCCTTTACCCAGCAAATTACTATCACATAGTCATTTAGTTAGCATTGGTCTTTTTCAGCTTTTTGTTTTTCTTCAAGTATGCTACTGTGACATTACTGCACACCTTAAATCATCAATTTAAATGTTTAAAGGAACATTGCACAGATGCAGTTGATATTACAACCAAGGAGTCGTCAGCTGATGTATACGGCTAAGATGTGAGGAGCATGTCCAGCTGCATCTAATTAATAGTGTGAAAGTTTTTTCCTAATAGACCCTAAGCTGTGTTTATGCCGTTCCCATTACCCGCTGTGAGAGAGAGAGGGGAGCACACAGCCCCCTCACTCTGAGTTGACTGGACCAAAGGCTTCCACTCTCGAAAGCGGACACCTCAGTGAGACTCCTTTCCAGTTCCTGGGTTTTGATAGCCACCATTTTTAGCCTGCTGTCATCTGAAGTTGATGTTCATGTTTTTGCTGATAGGTTACGAAGCATGCGGCTAGAGATGAAACTGGATACCTCAGATCCGGAGGGCAGGGTCCTTTGGAATTACCTCTGAATGTCCAGTTCCACGCCTACCTCGGATTATTATTTCACTCCTTGATCAAGCCTTTCCCTTTTTTAGTTGACAGCGTCGTCTTAAATCCATGGTGGGGGCATCTGCAGGGGGGATCAGTTCGCAGGAGAACCACACATGGGTTGTTAATCAAAGGTGACTTCAAAGGTCTCTTACTTTTTCTGGTAACTTTATTTGATTCTACTCTTAGATTCTAATCTCTTGGCATTTGGTCGAGCAATTACCACAAGGCTGTCAGAGTTCCTGTTGACTTCCATCACTTAATATGTGTGAACCCTTCCTACACTCTCACTGTGCTGAGCCTTTGCCAGAACATTTTGAGATGATAATCTACAATGCACAAGGATATGAATATGAAAAGGAACCACATTAAGGCTGAGAGGACAACAAATAACAGATAAAAATAATACAAATAATGAAAAAAAAACAAAAACCATATTTTGGTATCACTGGCAAAAATGTAGTCAATAAATTGAACTAAAGTCAATCAAATTTATCAGCTAAAGTATGTTTAATCAGTAATTTTTAAGAGGTACAACCATAGACTGTATATACTATGGACAACTTGGTTCTGCCTTCCACCAGTATACGGATTTGAAGCCAAAAAGCTCTCGGTATTCCCGCGATTTTTCTTTGTTTCCTGAAACCAACATTGCAAAGTAGCGTTGTACACATTTGGCGGGAGAGTCGCCGAGAGTCGCTGTGATGACGTTCGGCTCAAACAACGT